AGTAAATATATACACACAAAAACAAAGACACCAAACAAACCAACCAAATACGAAAATCCGTAGACATTCTTAGACTGCAGCGAATGCAGCGCACAAGCACACACATGAACGCACTGAAAACGCACACTCACCGATCACTACCCACTACTCACTCGCCAAATTTTTTGCTTCGTACACTTCCTTGAAGTATAGCAAGCAACTCATCTAATATGCCATATATTGCCCCATATCATAGTACAATGGTTTCGAACAATTGTGTATCAACTTCACCAATGAGAAATTACAACAATTCTTCAACCATCACATGTTCGTCTTGGAACAAGAAGAATACAAGAAAGAGGGTATCAATTGGGACTTTATTGATTTCGGTATGGATTTGCTAGCTTGTATCGATCTCATTGAAAAGGTGCTTATTCCAAAAGAAGAAAAAATAACAATAATAATGAAGAATTGAGTAACTAATTGTGTAACTTAGATGTGTGACGGATTAAGACTTGTTTGTCACTTTGTTTTTGTTTTTTGTCTAAACGCTATACAATTAGCATAGAAATTTCTTGTTCTTTGTTAAAACAAGCTCAAAAATAGTACAGCGGGACTTGCGAAAAAAAAATGTCGCTAGAACAATCGACGTGCGCGAAATAACAGGTATTGGTATGCGTTATATGTACAGTTCACGTTTGAGCCAAGCACCGGAATAGCAGCACCATCCCCTTTAGAAAGCACCAATGCAAAAGAATACATCCCTATTTTATAGTATGTATGTACATTAATGTCACAAGCACAGTTGGTTTCGTATTTATTGTCACACAAAAAACCTCCATCGAACAATTCCACTACCCCAATTATTAGCTTTCGCTCCCATCCCTTCATCATTTATTTATGTAAGGTTATGTAGTGATTATTTTGTTGTAATTTGTTATATCCATATGTATTCCCCACATCTTTGTATTGTAAAAATTGCCATATATTACAACCACTGCACCACTTGCACCACTGCACCACTTGCACCACTTGCACCACCATTAGTACAATGGCTTCGAGCAATTGTGTATCAACTTCACCAACGAGAAACTGCAACAGTTCTTCAACCATCACATGTTCGTCTTGGAACAAGAAGAATACAAGAAAGAGGGCATTGACTGGGCGTTCATCGATTTCGGCATGGACTTGTTGGCCTGTATTGAGATGATTGAAAAGGTTGGTTGCGCGCGCAGTTCGCAGAGCGAAGGGTAGATAAAAAAGGGCATTCGATATTGGTCAGAAGTTAATTTGAGCGTAGGAAATTGTCGTAAAACCAATCTTAGATGAAAACTCTCTCTAATTTAAGTTATAGCTAGGGAATGCAAGTAAGCGAAAGCGTTTTTTAGGTATTGTGCGTAATGTGTGTGTGTGTTTATTGACGTAAATAACGACTTAACGTGCGCTGCTTGGTGCTCTTTACCAAGTGGTACGCACACTGCATCCAAAAAAAAAAAAAAAAGAAATGTATGTTTGCACGAAGGACCCCTAAAAAAGAAAAAGCAACCAACACCAACACCCAGACACATGTATTGAATTCATTCAATTGCTTGTTTTGTGTATTGCACGCTATGCTTGCTATATTTGACTTGCGTGTGTGTCTGTGCACCACCCTGGACGACAACAAATTTGTAATCTGCCTGCGCTGACCGCCAAACACAAAAACCTCTCTGAAACCTACCCACCTACCTCAACTCTACTCAACTCAACTCAACTCAACTTTACTGTACCCCACGTAACTAACCCCCCGCCACCTCCACCTCCATCTATCCTCTATAACCTTTCAACCATTACTTTCATGTCTTGTGTCTTGTGTTACATTTTCCTCACAAACAGTACAACGGTTTCGAACAATTGTGTATCAATTTCACTAACGAAAAATTGCAACAATTCTTCAACCATCACATGTTCGTTTTGGAACAAGAAGAATACCAACGTGAAGGCATTGAATGGACTTTCATCGATTTCGGCATGGATTTGCAGATGTGCATTGAATTGATTGAGAAGGTATATTGGCAAAGCACAAAATTAGAACGAAACGAAAAACAAAGAGATGAAAAACATTAGCGCGCGCGCAAAATTTGCTGTAAAAATTGGTATAACAGCTATGCTAAAAGGCTTCGCGCAAAAATAGCCAATAATTATTTAGTACAAAAAAATAGCAGCTTAAAAAATCTAATCTCGTAAAGATATTTAGTACTCTAAATAGTAGTTGCTAATCTTCGACATGCCGAAAATATTTGTATACCGAATAATGCACTGAACAATTTAGTAATAAAAAAAACAAAAATAAAATAATAATAACTTTTGTCGCAGTGCTATGCAGATTTTAACTACGTAAAAAATAATGATCCAGTAGATGACTTTCCACGTGCCAAAGTTGTAGTCGCAATTAATTTTGTAGAAAATTTTTGCTACCTTTAACGCGTGCGAAAAATGCCAAAAAAATATAAAAACAAACAAATAATAACAATACATACACACTCTTTGTTGCTTTTTCGATCTCTCCTTTCTATACTATATACTATAAATCCTCTCTATAAGCCTTAATTAACACTTAACACTCCTAACAATGCGTTTTAATATTTTATTTTATTTTCGGAAGTTTAATACTAAAACAATAATGGGTGTCCCCTTTGAACTGAGACAAGCTCGAAAACCTCGTAGTTGAACTGTCACAGTTCCTATGAACAACTTTCCAGTTTTTTAAGTTCAAAGGGATCTCCTAAGTATTAACCAAAAAAAAATAAATAAACAACTAACAACTAAAAGTAAAACGCTATCCGAAATAAAGGGTGTTTTAGAAAACTAATATAGTGCTAGCCATTGTATTTAAATGATTGAAAAATTAAGTAATGTTTTAATCGCTAGAAAAAAATTTCCTAATGCCGGATTTCCACTAGGCATTAAAATGATCAAAAGCGTGTGCCATTTAAGAGATGTCATATGGAAACAAATTTGATAACAATTTGTATATCAGTGGTGATGCAAGTATTTTTTAACTCTCGAACTTTGTCATTGAAATTTTTGTTGTGTAATGTCTAAAGGAAATCCGGCATAATTGTCGAAAATAGGATTGAAGTTTAACCGCCAGCTTACGCATAATTAACCGTAGGTGAATAACCCGTCAAATATGGCTTTAGCTATATAAAATGGTTAACGATTTTTTTCGTGTAGTAACTGCCAGAAATATAATGAAAAAATATTAATGGAAAATTTTAAGAAAATAAACGAAACAATTTGAAATTTTTGAAAGTTAATTCACAATGCGCAGTTAACTATAAATTTTTGTACTGAAAATCTATAGTTAACCGCCGATGTAAGTTAACTCGTGTATCACAAATTTAATTAAGAATTTGAATGAGATTTAGATCGCATTGCAAGAAAGAAGTTTAACCAGCAATAAAAAAAAAAATAAAAAAACAGCAGAGAAAGTTATTACTACGCTGACCATTTGATTCATCCTTAATTCAGCTAACCAGTTACTAAATAGTACAACGAGTTGCCCAAAATAACCGATTTACGCCGCAGTTCAAATAAATATGCCAAACCGCCAAACAAGCACTTATTTAATTATTAATTCACTTACAAATTGCACACATTTTTTTGTATGTATGTAGTTAGATAAAAAAAAAAAACACACACAAAAATGCAAAATTTTGTTATAAAAAAAGATTTTTCTTTTATGCGCATTAGGGTGCATCATCAAAAAAAAGTAGTAGGTTCTTCCACCGAAATTCTAAATTCTGAAAATACCTTTCTATGCAGATCTTTTAAGCTTAAACTGTAATTTTTTGGAAAAAATATTTTTGACAACTAATTTTATTTATAAAAAAAAAACTCAATTTTGAAGCTATTTTCAAATAGGTCCCGCTTACGTAAATCTTAATATGTTTCCGTAGCGAATGTTTTGACAAAATTCTTAAAATATAATAAATTTTATATTTCCGAAGGGAAAAAGTACCGTTTTTTTCTTTTGTATGTAGAGTGATGCACCCTAATGAATACTTGCTCACCGTAGTTAATAATATTTAGTAGCAGCGAAATTATTAGTCGAATCGCTCGCAAATTTTAACAAAAGAAAAGTATTATTTTGATGCCAAACTCTAATGCTAAGGTAAGCGCTAAATTTGCTGTAATTTGTTGTACGCATCTGTGTAGTATTTTATGTTTACTTATTGCTCTAAAGCTAGTAGTTTATTTATATATATATATATATTGTAGCGATAGTCGGTAATTCGCACGCTTACTTTTTATGTACGAATGCATCTATATGACGCAATGTTTTATGTCTCTACTCATACCAAAAAAATTGACAATTTTCTAATCGATATTTTTCTACCTCCAATTCATCACAAAAAACAGCCTATGGGTATCTTGTCCATCCTTGAAGAAGAGTCTATGTTCCCCAAGGCCACCGATCAAACATTCGCCGAAAAATTGGTCAACACTCACTTGGGCAAATCGCCACCATTCCAGAAGCCCAAACCACCAAAGCCCGGCCAACAGGCAGCTCACTTTGCTATTGGCCATTATGCTGGTGTTGTCGCCTATAACATCACCGGTTGGTTGGAGAAGAACAAGGATCCATTGAACGACACTGTTGTCGATCAATTCAAGAAATCGCAAAACAAATTGCTGATCGAAATCTTCGCCGATCATCCAGGTCAATCTGGTGGCGGTGAACAAGCCAAGGGTGGTCGTGGTAAGAAGGGTGGTGGTTTCGCTACCGTCTCTTCGGCCTACAAGGAACAATTGAACAGCTTGATGACCACTCTGCGTTCGACACAACCTCACTTCGTGCGTTGCATCATTCCCAATGAAATGAAACAACCTGGTCTTGTGGATGCTCACTTGGTTATGCACCAGCTGACATGTAACGGTGTACTTGAAGGTATCCGTATTTGTCGTAAAGGTTTCCCCAACCGAATGGTGTACCCTGATTTCAAGCAACGGTAAGTGTGTAAAGTACATTTATACTTAGAAAATACATATATGTATATGTCTATATATATAGTTAGGATACATACATACATACTTATAGTACACAACTGTGAAGTAAGAAATACGGAAGACTAGGCGAAAAGTTAGCTTTTAGAAAAAAAAATGAAATATAATTTTGGAGTCAGTTTAGGTATAAATTTGATAGTAGGAAAAATGTTTATCATAGAGTAGAATGTAGTAAAATAACTTAGTACACAAATTAATTATAAATAATCTTGGACATTGCAACTGATATGCATATATAAATATTATTTATTTATTTTCGTACTCCCAATTGACATTCCTCTTCGCTAAAAATAAAAACAAACAAAATTTATATAAAATAAACTTCCCTTCCCCCAAAATAAAATAGTTACATGATCTTGGCCCCAGCCATCATGGTCGCTGAGAAACAACCCAAGAATGCGGCAGCCAAGTGTTTGGAAGCGGTTGGATTGGATCCCGACATGTACCGTATTGGTCATACTAAGGCAGGCAGCTGTTTAAAATATATATAGATTTCAATTGTTTTCCTACTTTATTTATTTAAAAAGTGTTTCTGTTTTTTGTCTAATTCTTCATGTATTTAGTCTTCAATCCACCAAAAACTACTTACGTTTCCCCTTTCCAAACTGCACTGTACTCTACCGTTATGCAGTAGTACTTGTATTTGTTTAACGTCCTCTTCCGAAAATGAAACATACTCGTACATCAGTATTTCATCGCCAGTAATAGTTACCTAGTATATTTTTAACCACGTTCATTTGGTAACGCAGCAAACTCGTATTGCGTTGTATTGCCTTGTATTTAGTACTTACGTACTTATTTGTACCCAAGGAACGCACCCACATTTGTTGGAGTTGGTAAAACTACATATCCATATTTGATCCTCTCACAGTATTAAATTGCATTCGTCCTGTATTTTGTATACACTTGAAAAGTAGTTTATATTTTTGTCCCACCTTATAATCCTTAAATATTTATTTTTTTTTTGCCTAGACACAATTTGTCCTTATCATTCTATCCTTTTGTATTTTTGTTGAACCTCTACAGTTGGTTTGGAAATTATATATGTAGTATGCAAATAATAGTCCTTGAAAGTATCACATACATATAGTTTTATTCATTAACTAAGTATATAATTTTAAGTACTTTTGTAGTTTGAGTAATTACCCTTACACAATTTTGAAATCCTATTTTTGAAAAATATCCCAACATACACAAGTAGTATTTATATAAAATATTTCGCTGCATAAACATCAAAATTCTTACTTATGTTAGATCCCACCATCTATTCCACTTCTGAATTACATATGCAGGCTTAGTAGCCTTCGTCGATTCGCATGACGACCTTAACCTTCGGGATCACTTTTTTTGTACTCATTCCTTGGTTTTGCTCCGTCACACTTGCCCCTTATTTGTAAGTTTGGTGTTCTGAAAACACAGTGTTTCTACTTCGTGAATGCGGTACCTCTTGAAACAATTTAATCAACAATATGGAACACCTAAATAATATCTCACGTCCCTATGGTTCTCAAACTTTTTGTTGAAACATAACTGATGTTCTATTTAATATTGAGACACGTCTTCCCTAAAACTCTACGAAGCATAATTTTACGTACTTACTGTTATGACCCATTACAACAAAAAAACTGTGAACGTTTTCAGCTCTTGCATAGGTTATGATGCCCCCCTGACATGGCGTTAAGTATTTGTCTTGTAACCTACTACTATGTAGTGATATTTATGTCTCTATGCATGTTAAGCACATGGATAAACACAAAGAAATACAATTTAAACCCCTCTTAAGCTAACAGTAGCCAACCAAATTGTTTATGGTTTGATGTAAACACACGTTTACACTTACCAACACATCACACGAACATATCGAGCAAACATATCAAATAAATAAATCCAAGCAAACTACTTCAAGCACATAATTACTTCTATCGCAGGTATCAGATCCTTGATCCCCGTGGCATTAAGGACTTGAGTGAGGATAAAAAAGCTGCGAAAATTCTGCTCGAAAGCACTGGAATGGATGAAGATCTCTATCGTCTGGGTCACACAAAGGCACGAAACGAAAGAAGTTTTCTATGAAAAATATAAAATCCAAAACAAATAGTTCAGCTTAGAATGCTTCATTAGCTTACAAAATTTGAGATTAAAAGTCTCTGCATTTGTGACTGACGCAATGGCGCATACCGACGCCTACATACATATAAAGCGTATGAGCGACTGAGATCTGTTTTTCTTAGTGCTATTTTGTTTTTTTCTTTGAATTGGCTTTGAATTGGCATGAACTGCGCTGCAAAATTGAATGGAAATTTAAAAACTTCATGAAATGTGCTTGAAATATTATTTTTTTGAACACTTTTTAGAACACTCAGTATACATAATCAACTCAATCTACATAATCATATGAACCCAAGGTTCAACACTTCACTTACTCTGATACACTCTTCCCACTTTTCGCGAAATCGACTATGCCACGAAACACTTAAACACAATCTCAAAATCTATAAACTTTCGAAACTCTCTTTTAAGCTATTATTCTTATTATTATTCTTAACACATTTTCCCACACGCAGCTATCAAATTTTGAATCCAAAGGACATTAGCGGTTTGGACGACCCGAAAAAATATACTAAAATTCTTATTGAGTCGACATCCCTTGATCCAGATCTATATCGACTTGGTCACACGAAGGCATGGTTTTCTTATTATTCCGAAAACATTACCTAAAGAAATATTTTTCACTTTTTCAATTTTTTCGACACCCCAGATTGCAAGAAAAGTTTCTAATTAAGTTTCTCAATCCCTCTCTGGTTCGTTTGTGAATGCAAAATATTTAAAATTTTTCACAAAAACTGAAAGCATGCACTTCATGAAACATCAAAAAAAAGAAAACCTACTTTGTTGTTGTGTGTTGTGGAGTTGGAACACGCCCATGTAGGGCGCGCTGATCGCTCGCAACCACACAAACACACACCCAACCTTGAACAAACATACAACTCATTGCAAGAATAAAATGATTTATGGCCCTTTGGAATGTTAAGTCAACTCATCTTTGAAGAAGTGACGAATCATTTGCGCCTACTCACTGAGTATATAATTTGCATAAACCTCTCGCACATCAGTCTATAATATTCACATATTTACATCGATGCATTTTTGGACACCCTGTTTGCTGAATGCACTCCCGAAGCCTGTAGATCCAGAGAGCCACACTTTTTGTGGATTTTTTTTTTTTACTTTTTTTGTAATTAAAATTAATTAATTAATTAAAACTATAGTATGTATAGCTTTTTTTGTTTGTTATCTAAACTATACACTCTTTATACATATATTAACTACTTTTTTTTATACATTTCTACTCAGTCATATTTAAAACATCACATTTTTATCCCGAAATATTTTTTAAACACGAATCAATTAAACAAAAAACAATATCCAATATCCACTACACCAACAGCTACCAAATCCTGAACCCAAGAGGCATCAAAGGACTTGACGATCCCAAGAAAGCCACTAAGATTTTGATCGAATCCACTGAATTGGATGAAGATCAGTACCGTCTGGGTAACACTAAGGCACGCATCAAATTCTTTACACAGTAGAAAATTTAAAAAAAAAAAAAATAAAACCAACATGTGTATGCCACAAAAAATCCGCTTAGGTATACATACATATATACACACACACATTTATTATTGTTGTAGTTTTTGCAACATCTCCAGTACTCATCCAAAGCAATTGCACCCACACATGCACGTACATATATGAATACACACTTGGACCTTCTACATGTACATGTAGAGGTTTAAAAATTTCCCCATATCAACGGCACCCATACAAAATCCAAAATTCACAATCCACATGTTACCTTCCATAATTCATATTCCACGACCCACAACCTACATTCCACAACTCACAACCCACAATCCACAATACACCACCAACCTTCAACAATCCACAAAATATATGAACTCCGGTGCAGTCAGTAATTTTTATGGCTGCAGGAGTTACACATATGTATATACACACATACATAACTATGTATTTATGTACACGCATAAGAAGCATTTTCGAAAGTCTACACACCCATCCACACGAAGCAGCATGCCCCTAAAAAAAACACACACTCGATCCACCACCACACATACAAATACGTTATTTGGCATGTTCGTACGTACTACGTAGTTCTCATTAGCATTGTTACTTTTGTTTATTATTCTATTAGGTTTACGAGTATGGCCCACAATCAAGCATGTGATTTTGCGGTAATATCATGCGTATCCACTCCACACATACCTACATACATATTTACATAAATATATAGCATGTGGAAAAGATTTCGATGCTCGTCTCATGATCCTTACATATATAAGTACATACATACATATATTTATTTCCATTTACCATTTCCACACAAAAAGTAAGTGATCCTATTTACTAGGCACTTTGGGAGAAATTATAAAAAAAATATCTAGATTTTTTTGTATTTACCTTTTCAAATATTTTTTAATAGTTAATTTTAATTTTTTTTGCGAACATTAATATCCCTAGCATTTAAACTAATTTTAAGTAAATTTTTGGCAAAAAAAAACAGTTAATAAATCTAAAATTTTTTCTTGAAATTACCTTTATTTTCTCACACAACAAAACCGTCAACAAAAACCACAAAATTTTTCCCAAAAAAATACCACCACCAACGCACGAAACAACCATTGCAACACTTATCGACCGCACACCAAATTTGCACGTTCACACACGCATACACGCACACATCCACCCATATACCGCATATGTACCCACCCTCGTATAGCTACCGGATTATGTGCCCGAAAAAATTGGTCGGCGTTGATAAAGATAAGAAGGCCACAGAAATCATTATTAACCACATTGATTTGCCAGACGATCAATTCCGCTTGGGTAACACCAAGGTACCTCATTTCAAAAAATAAAATTGATTAAAAATGGAATTAAAACAGCAACAAATTAGTAAAACATAATCAACTCTCTAAAAAAAAGAGACACTTGTCAAATGTACAAAATTGCCAAATCAACTGTCTGTTGACAACAACTTAACACTAACTACTTTTGTAAAAATATTTCTTTAAAAAAAAACTTCTAATTCCGGTTATATACATAATTCTAAAAAAAAAAAACAAAAAAATATGTGGATATATTTTTTCCATTTTTCCTAACAAACAAATCGTGATACAAAGCTGAATAACACTACTGAGCTATATGTGGAACTTATCAGTAATAATCTAAACGAAACTGAACATAAAAAATAGTAGCTCAGTTTTTAAAAAATGCCATTCATTTGAATTGCTTCACAAACAATTAGAGAGAATTTGTATGAAATGATATTTATTTTCTGAAGCATTTCGAATGAATTTTATTTTTTATAAATTTAGCTGAAAAACAATTAATCAGTCTTACACACACACACACATGCACACTTACGATAATCAACTAAACATCTCCGTTTAACCATTAATCACACTTTCATGTACATATTTACATAGTCGAAACCGAAAATTTCACGATCATCTTCAGCGATCGTACCGTACGCACGTTCAGCATAATTGAAAATCACCATCATCAGCGTTGAACACTCATGAACGAATGAGCGCGCGTTCAGTTTGTATGGAAATATTTGCAATAAAATAATTTGTGCTCATGAACTTTGCAAACTTCGAACTGATCGAACTCAATCGATCGCGAGTACAACATTTGCACCGATTTTATATATATAAATCATTTTTTTTTACATTGTATATATCAAATTTCTAACTAGATATGTGTTCACTCATCTCCACTTATGTATATATTCTATTACGCTTTTCCACATTTGATTGTCGCTTTTAAAAATCACGCTTTTATTTTAAATCCCGCCTTTTTATTTACATTTCACTCGCGTGTTTTGTTCGTTGTTACTTTCATCCTCCACCTAATTACTCCAAAAATCATGAATATCTGTTTTGTACCATAATGAACGTAATTAATGTTGAAACGCTTTTTAAAAAAAGAGTAGACTAGCAGTGAGCTGAGAGCGAAAAACGCGAACAAATGTTTTTTGTTTTTTTTTTTTAAAATGTTTGTTTTTCATTTTTGCTTCAAATAAAAAATAACGTTCTTTCTCCAGCCATCGCTGACTCGCAATCAGCTCACTCGTATAGTCACCCGCTCTGTATGTGTGGCATATCACAGCCAAATAAGTTGCTTTTTGTATTAACCCTTATTTTTTCTACACTTTTCTTCCGCCTCCGCTTTCTTAAAAAAAAAAAAACGCAAACGCAAACAAAATTTGTAAAAACCAATAGGTGTTCTTCCGCGCTGGTGTCCTCGGTCAGATGGAAGAGTTCCGTGATGAACGTCTCGGCAAAATCATGTCCTGGATGCAAGGTTGGGCTCGTGGTTACTTGGCCCGTAGGAACTTCAAGAAATTGCAAGAGCAACGTTTGGCCCTCAAAGTTGTGCAACGTAACTTGCGCAAATACTTGCAACTCCGCACCTGGCCATGGTACAAATTGTGGCAGAAGATCAAGCCTTTGCTCAACGTTTCCCGCGTTGAGGATGAGATTGCTGTGAGTATACGTATAACGAAATGGAAGTTTGTTTTTTTTTTCTTGTTTTGCCTTTCAGAGCGCAGCTAGCTGACGGTTAAGCGCAGCCACCAAGCAGGCAAGCGAGGTGTTTTGTTGGTGTTTGTGCAACGAAGTGAGCGTAGATAGTTTGAGGCTGCTTCAAATGCCTTTAAAGAATTTGCCTTTCTGAGAGGCTCAAAATATGCAAACGAAAAATATCAAAAAAAAAAAAATATTTCATGATGCTGTCATTGCACCTGCTCGAATGCATCACTCTTTCTATTGCAGAGTTGCTCATGCGTTCCGCATTCAATGAGTGCAGCGAGAAATAAAAACACGCCAGCAGCATTTAAAAATAAAACTTGAACGCGCACACTTGACTTGACGACTTCCTTTTCAGCAAAAAAAAAAAACAAAAACACACGAAATCATAATCTTTTTCGCCTTCATTTTTTTTTAGTTTTTTTTTTTTCTGCACATCGCCCAACGCCTGGCCTTTTGGCTTACATTTCTGACAATGTTGGCAAGTGTGTTCACATAATTAGCGCAAATGCATTCGAGCCAATGGCGTTCAATTTTTCAATATTCGAATTTTTTTTCAGAATTTCATTCTTGCGCTCGCTGCCGATGCCAACGTAAGATTACAGCCGATAACTAGCAGCAGCACGAAATTGGCGCTTAGCACTTAAATCGAATGATTGAGTATTAACGGTTGTTTGTTTTTGAGATGATTTCGATGTTGACGATGATGTTGACGATGATGCTGTGTATGAATTACCAATGTGATTGGCGTTAATCATACGCCCCCGTGTACCAAAATATAAAAATATTTGATCGCCTTGCTGCCGCCACACACAGCGAGGGCATTGCTGGCTGCTGCTCAAAGCTTTGAATGCGAATGCATACAGCATCAAGAATGTGTATGTATGTATGTATGCATGTATGTATGTGTACATACAACAACACTCTAACGATCATTTAATCGATGAGCTGTGACGCCATATGGCTCCCCTCCAAGTATATGCAATGAAATTGATTTGATTTCTAAATGAATTGTATAATTCCGTTAGAGGTGCGCGTCGTGCAAGTGAAGCTAAAAATATTCATATATACACAAATAATTGGAAAAATATATTTTCGTACGAATATTTTGCATGCTTATGGACATGAGCAATTTAGTGTTGTATAGCTCAGTTTCCTTTCATTTAGTACTTACTTTTAGCGGCCTGGCAGCTCTATATATTGTTTATAAATGGGGAGCGCGTTCTTAATAACTGAGCGATGACTCAGCTGCAAACAAATTTAAGAGCTCACTTAAGTCGATTTGTTTACTGGACATTGTAGATCGCGTTTGTTTTCTTGGAAGTCAACACTTTGATTAGGAAAAAGAAGCAAACACATCGAGTCGTAGAGTCGCGTAATTTTTCGTTACTTCGGCTGCACAGCTGGAAATAGTGATCGGTAGTATGAAGCGCTCCGCTTCGTAGTAAAACTTAATCGATTTTTTTGGAAATTTTTCACACATTTTTTTTTCTACACACCAGTAAAGGAAAAAAAAACCTTTTTGCTGAAAAATATTAAATAACGCTACTCAACGAACGCGTAAAGTTCGAAATAAGAAAATATTTTTCCTAATTCTTTTTCAAGGCAGTCAAATTTTTTTTCGATTTTTGTGTTAAATTTTTTCGATCTTTCTTCAGATTAAAAAAAAAAAAAATTAAAAGAAAAGATTGCAAAAAAAAATTGCTTTTTAAAAATCACATACACTATTTCAAAGATTTTCATACTTTTTCCTGATATAACTTTTTCTAATTTCTTAATTTTTGCCATTTTCACACTGGTCTACAATTGTCCCCTCACAAAATATTCAGTAACGCATTATTTTATGTGTTTTCAAAAAAAAATGATTTAAAAATTTTTCTTAGAAAGAATTTAGTTTCCAAAACTGTTGGTTAGGAATTATTTCCAACAATTTATTAATATGTAATGATTTTTATTAATATTTTTATTTATTATTTTTAGTTTTTTTTTTGTAAATTTATTTTTCTTTTTTGTTTGTAAATTTCTTTAAAAACTTTGCGAGAATATTTTTTCCAAAATCATAAAAATTGTGCTGCCCAATACTCTAACGATGGAAATAGTTGCCTACACTTAGTTCTATGGAAAGAATAAATATAAGCAATATACTCACAAATTTGTATTTCTTTGGAATTTCTCTGCAAATAATTTCTCTACTTTAATGGAGTGGGCGCTATAGAAGTGTACTTACGGACACATGTGTCTAGCACATTGAATTTATTGTAAACAATCGCGAATTTTCGCACAAAGCCATTTAGTAGCGGCATACCTTTGATTTAACACTCTCGATTGCTATTAAATATTGGCCTTTTTTATTTTTGCGCGAAACCATTTTAAAGCATCCATTTTTTTGTTCAGTTTGCTACTCGCATGGCGACTGAAATTTTAAGAAATCCAAAACCAAAAACAAAAATAAAACAGAAATGACTAATAACCAATTAGTGTTGATTGAAGGCGCGCCCCGTTATTAGATATGTGTCCTTTGGCGACAAGCAAACGTCCCTGAACATAAGCAATAAGCGTTGGCAGCTTCTTCTTCTTCTTTCTTTCACCTTTGGGCTGCTGCTTGAAGTTCTACAAGTTGCTCCGTTTCAATCCAGCTGTCATGGCTCATCGCAAGAAGCTGCCCACACGAATGTACAAATATAACATTTACCCATACATAAACATATATGTATGATGACAGTGTGTGTGGGTTATTGTATGTGTATACATACTTACAAATGTATGTCTTCCTGGCCCCTGTAAATGCAGCGCCAGCTAAGCGCGCAACTCAATCAACAGCTGAAACAGCTGTAGTGGACAACAGCACTCAACTCAACTCGAGTCAACTCATCGTCGATGTCGTCGTCGTCGACGCCGGCCGCCGGAATGAATAATGAAATATGAATACTTATACATTTATCATCGGTGTACTATGTATATAAAATGCGCTTGCAAGCAGCAACAAAAAAGCTGGCAATTGAATTTTCTTGTCGCTGCCTACGGGCACTTATTAATATTTCTAATTGAAACCTCATCAAAATAATTTGGCCAACTCATATTGGCGCGTATGAGCAAGCAGACAGGCGCAGCTGACTTAGCAACTATTTGCCATCTTACTCATGCTGCCACAACAGCAGCAACAATAAAAGTCCACAGCCCAGCAGCCAACAGCCAACAGCCAAACGCTAATAGCAATCATGGCAAACTTTCTAAATACCGCGATCTCAAAGCGCCAAATATGCGTGGCTGGCGGGATTTGTAGCGCAACACCTGCGCCATATCATTGATCGCGCCACATACAAGAATGGGGCTCCGCGCAGCGTCTCTCGGCGGTGCGGCCTGTTTTGTTGCGGAAAACAGAAGGAAAACCAACAACAACATGCAACCCTTGCCGGAATGTGCACACTTGTGTATTGCTGCTGCTGTTGTTGTTTGTTTGTTTGTTTGTTTGTTTTCTTCGGCGAAGCGCATAAATATGAGATTTATTAACGTGTTGAACACATCGTTCGCAGAATATTCGATTCGATCATATTCGGGGCGTTGCTAAATTTATTTACCCCACACATACACACACTTACGCACATATGTACATACACAGTTGTAGGTAGTTGTAATTGTAATTGAATTGAAATAATTTCTTCTTTGAGCTGCGCCGCTCGAATTGCTCATTGCTGCTGCACTCATCATCATTCCAGCTGTTGACCAGTAGCTAGTCGGACCTAGTTCTTTAAACGCGTCGTGCCGCAGTTCAGTTCACTAGCTGACCGCAACGAAATCAAATCGAATCCAAAGCGTTTTTTGGAGTTTATTAAGCAAACATTTAAAATATTAAAAAATAACAAAAAAAATAAAAAATAAAACAGTATTTAAATACGAAGAAATAAAATAGTATTAGTTGCAAAAAGCCTTGAAAGTATTTGCCCTAAAACGACTCTTTTGAGACCAACAAACGAAAGCACAAGTGAAAGCGCTCACCTATGCGAAAGCTCATTAAAAGCTAAACGCTCAGCAGCTTTTGCGAATTACTATTTTTCTAAAACGGTTATTAATTCTACGGGCATTTAAATCCGTCTACAACGCTACGCTTCACGTAGCCGCGCAGTTATCCTTTGCAATAGAAATTCTCCAATAAGAAATATAAGGACACACCTCTAATATGGCTGATGAGAAAAAGGTAAAGAAATCAAAAAAGGCAGCCGCCGCGCCTGCCACCGCCACGGATGCTGCTGAGCCAACAGCAGTAGCGCCAGCAGCAGATGGAGAAGCCCCACCCGTCATCGAAAATGGCACAGCAGCTGCCTTAAATGGTCATACCAATGCTGCTGATGCTGATGCACCCGACCAAACTGACTATATACCAGCTCCCACCAACGACGAACCAAACACCAACACCACCAACTCGTCTGCTGCCGCCGCCGTCGCCGCCGTAGCCGCAGCGCCGCAAGACATCGCAAATTTATCCACTGATATTAAAACACCATCTGTTCCTTTTGATTCATTCGAATTGCAGCGTCTGGAAGAGAAGGCCAAGAAGGCTGAGGAATTGCATGCCGCTGAAGTGAAAGTACGCAAGGAATTGGAAGCCCTCAACGCTAAGCTGTTGGCTGAAAAGACTGCCCTTTTGGACTCGCTGTCCGGTGAGAAGGGTCAATTGCAAGACTTCCAGGAGAGGAACGCCAAGTTGACTGCCCAGAAGAACGACCTCGAGAACCAATTGCGCGTAAGTAAAAAAAAAAAAAAAACACAGAAATTAATCACCAAAATAAAACTCATAAAATCATGCATCTCATCGCCGGAGCGATTGCCGTGCAGTGAAAATCGCAAAAAACTTCATTTGTTCAGAAAAAAAAAATCAATTCCGTGAAATTAAAATTGTGTATTCAGGAATGAGTAGATATACGGCGGACCAATCGGCGTTCGTTAAAAATTTGAATTGAATTTTCACGTTCAACAGATGAGAAAAATCGGCGAAAATGTTCAAACTCTTGAATGTTTTGATTAATATGTATTTCAAGGAAAAATAAAAATTCCCCCCGTGAACCAGATTCGCAATAATTTCGCAGTATCAGTAATAATACAAAAATCTCTGTAATTTTCTTGAAAATTTTGATTAAGATCGCTGGCGTCTCAAACATGCAAAAATGTAAAGTCTTCCAATTTGTATCACTAATTAACGATAATCTCATTGTTCCGCCTCGTTTACCATTTGGCTCATTCTATAATATCCACTTACCTGGGGCCAGAGCTAATTTGCGAATACCTGCATATTTATGTACCTGTGTGTGCGCGCACGCTCACACATTATAAACACAGGCAATAATGCTCAAGGCGATATTCATAAAAATTTACTAAGCAAACAGCAAAATTATCTATTGTAAACACTTGGCGATCCTCGTCAAATTCTTACAACTTGCGATCCACATGCAGTCGCGCTTCATTAAGTGCGGCCATCAAGCACCATAAACCAACGCAAATCGCAAATCAATAACATCAACAGACAGTCACAGGCATTGCAAATTAATCACTGCTCTGGTATTTATGTGTGTGTGTGTGTGAGGATTTGCACTTGCCGCAATAGATCACAGCTGCAAAAGGAGAGCAAGCAAGCCAGCAACAAAAAAAAACGAATAATTAGAAATCTTCTACGAAGAGTGTGCACGCTATTTTTAGCAGCAATTTCAATTTTTGATTCAGCGCGAACAGTAAAACGGTACATTTGTGCGTTGCGCTATAAATAGCAGAGCTTATATTGTAGCAGCTCAAGAGTGGAGTGATCGTTAAACGATCGCGCGTTATAGAGTGAGTGAGTGAGTGAATTGGCCAATCAATTCAGAGTCATAAAGCTATACATATCTACATAGTACACACTATACGCCTATTAAAAATATATCCACGAATACTTTTGTACTCACCTGACAATTGTTTTCTCTCCCACCCTCTCTCACCCTCAATAGGATATCCAAGATCGCTTGAGCCAAGAGGAAGATGCCCGCAACCAACTGTTCCAACAGAAGAAGAAGGCTGACCAAGAGATCTCTGGCCTGAAGAAGGATATTGAGGATCTTGAATTGAACGTCCAGAAGGCTGAACAAGATAAGGCCACCAAGGATCACCAAATCCGCAACTTGAACGATGAGATCGCCCACCAGGATGAACTCATCAACAAGTTGAACAAGGAGAAGAAGATGCAAGGTGAAAGCAACCAGAAGACTGGTGAGGAACTCCAAGCCGCCGAGGACAAGATAAACCACTTGAACAAGGTTAAGGCTAAGCTCGAACAGACCCTCGATGAATTGGAGGACTCGTTGGAGCGTGAGAAGAAATTGCGCGGTGATGTTGAGAAGGCTAAGCGCAAGGTTGAGGGTGACCTCAAACTCACCCAGGAAGCCGTCGCTGACTTGGAACGCAACAAGAAGGAATTGGAGCAGACCATCCAACGCAAGGACAAGGAATTGTCTTCGATCACCGCCAAATTGGAAGACGAACAGGTCGGTGTTGGCAAGCACCAGCGCCAGATCAAGGAATTGCAGGCCCGCATTGAAGAATTGGAAGAGGAAGTTGAGGCTGAACGTCAAGCTCGCGCCAAGGCTGAGAAGCAACGCGCTGATTTGGCCCGCGAATTGGAGGAATTGGGTGAGCGTCTTGAGGAAGCCGGTGGTGCTACCTCTGCTCAAATCGAACTCAACAAGAAACGCGAAGCCGAACTCAGCAAATTGCGCCGCGATTTGGAGGAAGCCAACATTCAGCACGAATCCACCTTGGCCAACTTGCGCAAGAAGCACAACGATGCTGTTGCTGAGATGGCCGAACAGGTTGATCAGCTCAACAAGTTGAAGGCTAAGTAAGTATTTGTTGTTATTGTAATATTTTCGAGATACATGTTTCCAGGTGGCGAATGTTTGTTCGCCTTTTCGGCGTCGCACACCGTGTGCATCAACGTGGAGCGTCCTTCTGTATATTTGTTTTTTGTTGGAAGTGGTTTTGATGTTTTCGATTGTTGTGAAAAAATTTCTGATTTCCTGATTTCGGTTAATTAATTTTCAATTTCTTGTAATGCAATACAGGGCTGAACACGATCGCCAGACTTGCCACAATGAGTTGAACCAAACTCGTGCCGCTTGCGATCAACTGTCCCGCGATAAGGTAATATGTTGTGAAAGCACTTCAAGCCGCAGTGCTATACAAAGCAAACACATCCAAATACCTCCAACAACAAGTACACTTACTACCACCACAAATACACAACAGATATATGCATGCCATATCTCTATTTTGAAATGAAAATAAGAAAATCATTAATCGAATGGTTCACATAAAAATTTCTACGGAGCTGGTTCCATAAATTCCGAAAAAGCTCTTGAAGACTTGAAAAGGGTCGCGTACGCTCTGCAACGGAAGCAATATTTTTTGCGACCGCTCTCGCTCTATCTCTGTATCTCTTGAACTTCTAATCCCATACACAATTTAACACATCTCTAACCATATCCAAATCTACTCTATTATTCACACAATCTAGGGCTGAGAAGGAGAAGAATGAATACTACGCTCAATTGAATGACCTCCGCGCCGGTGTTGACCACCTTAGCAACGAGAAGGTATACACAATTAAGGATATTTATAAAAAGTTTTTGTTGTACGCATTGCTGCTGCTGTAATTACGCTGAAATTGTCACTTGTAAATTTATTTTGTATGTAGATTCGCTTTTTAAATTCCTAAACCGATTTAAGTATGTCCTCAGGGGCGGCGTACTCGAGAAAGTAAGGATGCCCTATCCGTACTTTCCCATTTGTGCGCGTAGACTTGTGAGAAACACTGTATATGCGAAATTGCCTCTAAGTCAGCATTGATCGTTAAATTCAGTATGAACGTAGTTTTGTATATAGATATTGCCTCTTAACTTCCAAGCCCCTGAACCTCTAACAAATATTTTTTTATAAAAACTAAAAATGCGCCACTACTAATTGTACAGTACACACAAAACCGCCTTACACTTTTCGAAGAACGAAAACAAAATTTTCCCCCAGCAAAAAAAAAAAATTAACGCATTTCTCATTCCTCTCATTGCCGTTAACCAGGCTGCCCAAGAAAAGATCGCCAAGCAATTGCAACACACTTTGAACGAAGTGCAAGGCAAATTGGACGAAACCAACCGCACCCTCAACGACTTCGATGCCTCCAAGAAGAAGCTGTCAATCGAAAACTCCGATCTGTTGCGTCAATTGGAGGAAGCCGAATCGCAGGTGTCGCAATTGTCCAAGATCAAGATCTCCTTGACCACTCAATTGGAAGATACCAAACGCTTGGCCGACGAAGAATCCCGCGAACGTGCCACCCTCTTGGGCAAGTTCCGCAACTTGGAACACGACCTGGACAATCTGCGCGAGCAGGTAGAAGAGGAAGCCGAAGGCAAGGCTGATTTGCAACGTCAACTCAGCAAGGCCAACGCTGAGGCTCAAGTATGGCGCAGCAAATACGAATCCGATGGTGTTGCCCGCTCTGAGGAATTGGAGGAAGCCAAGAGGAAGTTGCAAGCTCGCTTGGCTGAGGCTGAGGAAACCATTGAATCGCTCAACCAGAAATGCATTGGCCTCGAGAAGACCAAGCAACGCCTGGCTACCGAAGTCGAAGACTTGCAATTGGAAGTCGACCGTGCCAACGCCATTGCCAACGCTGCCGAGAAGAAACAGAAGGCCTTCGACAAGATCATTGGCGAATGGAAGCTCAAGGTTGATGATTTGGCTGCTGAATTGGATGCTTCCCAGAAGGAATGCCGCAACTACTCAACCGAATTGTTCCGTCTCAAGGGTGCCTACGAAGAAGGCCAAGAACAATTGGAGGCCGTGCGCCGTGAGAATAAGAATCTTGCCGATGAAGTTAAGGATCTGCTCGACCAGATCGGTGAAGGTGGCCGCAACATTCACGAAATCGAGAAGGCACGCAAACGCTTGGAAGCCGAAAAGGATGAACTCCAAGCCGCCCTCGAGGAAGCCGAAGCTGCCTTGGAACAGGAAGAGAACAAGGTGTTGCGCGCACAATTGGAATTGTCCCAAGTGCGTCAAGAAATCGACCGCCGCATCCAAGAGAAAGAAGAGGAATTCGAAAACACCCGCAAGAACCACCAACGCGCACTCGACTCCATGCAAGCCTCCCTCGAAGCCGAAGCCAAGGGTAAGGCTGAGGCCCTCCGCATGAAGAAGAAGTTGGAAGCCGATATCAACGAGCTGGAAATTGCATTGGATCATGCCAACAAGGTAAAGTACAAACGCGAAGAAGAAACAATAACAAACTCGATTTTAAATTTCCCCTTTCATTTCGATTTTGACACTTTAGGCTAACGCCGAGGCCCAGAAGAACATCAAACGCTACCAGCAACAGCTTAAGGATATCCAGACCGCCCTCGAAGAAGAACAGAGAGCCCGCGACGATGCCCGCGAACAATTGGGCATCTCCGAGCGCCGCGCCAACGCCCTCCAGAACGAACTCGAGGAATCCCGCACTCTGCTCGAACAAGCCGACCGCGGTCGTCGCCAAGCCGAACAGGAATTGGCCGATGCCCACGAACAACTCAACGAAGTCTCCGCCCAGAATGCTTCCATCTCTGCTGCCAAGAGGAAATTGGAATCCGAACTGCAAACACTCCACTCCGATTTGGATGAGCTGCTGAACGAAGCCAAGAACTCCGAAGAGAAGGCCAAGAAGGCTATGGTCGATGCTGCCCGTCTCGCCGATGAACTCCGCGCCGAACAAGATCATGCACAGACACAAGAGAAACTCCACAAGGCCTTGGAACAACAAATCAAGGAATTGCAAGTCCGCTTGGATGAGGCTGAAGCCAACGCACTGAAGGGTGGCAAGAAGGCTATCCAGAAATTGGAGCAACGCGTCCGCGAATTGGAGAACGAATTGGACGGTGAACAGAGAAGACACGCCGATGCCCAGAAGAATCTGCGCAAATCTGAACGTCGCATCAAGGAGTTGAGCTTCCAGTCCGAGGAAGACCGCAAGAACCACGAACGCATGCAAGACTTGGTCGACAAACTGCAACAGAAGATCAAGACATACAAGAGGCAAATCGAAGAAGCCGAAGAAATCGCTGCCCTCAATTTGGCCAAATTCCGCAAAGCACAGCAAGAACTCGAAGAAGCCGAGGAACGCGCTGACTTGGCCGAACAGGCTATCAGCAAATTCCGCGCCAAGGGACGTGCCGGCTCAGTTGGACGTGGTGGCAGCCCAGCGGTAAGTGTAGAGTAGTACAAACAAGTTCATAAAACCTGTACAAACTTTTAATTTGCAAACTTTTATAATTTATTTATTGATTTATTTTGTATTTATTATTATTCTCCCCCTCTCGATTCATGCGCGCTCGATTATAATTAAATACGGCACAGCCAATGGTCCAACTGTAGAGTGGTGGTGCCATCAGACCACGACACATGAGAAATAAATGCAAAGAGAATTGTAGTTCATAAGCAGCCAAAAACTGAAAAAAAAAATTAAAATAACTTATTTAAAAAAAAAAAAACAAAACAAAATCAAATACGCCATGCAACATTCAATTTATTTTTCATCATCACAAGACATGATAGAAAAGTGTAGTTGAATCAGAGACATCGATAGCACGATGCCTCGATATTTCACAAACAAAAAATCAAAAAAGCTGAAAAAATATTAAAAAAACAACAAAAAAAATCTTAAAAACTCTACTTTTTTATTATATATGTATGTGTAAACTGTAGCCGGCAGCGTCAAAGGGTGGCCGCCAGAATGCGCTGGACCAATAATTACTTCTCATTACATTTGTAAGTGAACGAAGATAAGCGTTTATGCGCCCCTTAGTTGTATTCCCCAAACAAGAATGAAAATTACGTATATCAAAAAATAAAAAATTAACTTAAACCGTGTTCTATAAGAACAACGGCACAGTCATACTGTTTGTCATACATACACATACAAACATACATACAAAAAGGGAATCAATGTGCACTCACAGCACTGATATGTTTGACCATTTCTCATAGGAATGCACTCACTGCACGATCTCATCATCTCAGTATAAGCAGGCAAATGATATGAAACGAAGAAAATTCATAAAAATCATTTTCATCAAAATTAATTGGCGTTTACTACACAACTCTTTGTTCTAGTCTAGTTTGTCAATCCTTGGCCGTTCCGATGCTCTGTGCTTGAAAAGTTTTGCCTTATATATATATATATATATTTACATATGAACCCCCGAAAGAAAATTTGTTGAGACCCCCTCGCATTATCCACTTTGTTGTCTTCATAGTTTATTAAAGCTTTCGTTTTTTTTTCTCGTTTTACATTTGCATCGAAAACATTTACTAAATATTTGTTATTTTTTTCTCTTCCGCACTCAACAGCCCCGAGCGATGTCCGTACGGCCACAACTCGACGGATTGGCTTTCCCACCAAGATTCGACCTTGCTCCAGAAAACGAATTCTAAATGCCATTTCTATGCTTCGTTTTTAAAGGAATTATTTTAAAATAATATTTCATAATTATTTGTTATGTTTAATTTAATTTAAACTATTTACAATACTTTTTTGTTTAATTAATTTAAATAAAAAAAAACATGTATAATTCGAACGACGGGAGGAATATATGCACTTAGGCAAGAAAATCTCTTAAAAATAATATTATAAAAAAAAACAAAAACAACAAACCAATGTAAAAGAAAAAAAATACACAAAAACACACATAAAAAACAAACACTAGCATAAGCTCACACCGATGACGACGATGTTGCTGTTGTTGTTGTTAGTCAAGTATGTATGTACATATTTTAAGCGCATAAAAGTCGGATATTTACTGCGTCTATGTAGTAGTTCTTCGCCACGATGTACGAAAGAAAGTCAGTCTAGCCCAGATTGTATTTAATTTTTGCTTTTATACAAATAACAAATGACTTTTAACTTTAACAAGAACTTACATAATTATGTACGTAGAGAAGAGTGTTCAGGAAAAAAAAAAAACACACATGCAATTTGTAAAAAAAAAAACTAAACTAAAATAAGAAACAAATACTAACAACACGAGTGAGAGTTGATCGAAAACAGCCGTTGAAATTGTATGTAGTTTTTTTTTTTTAAGTACACACACGCGCGCACAAGCGGACCCGAGGAAACGAGGAAAGGCAGCCATACGAAGAATGGAATGGAATGGAGCGCGAACGCAGCCGAGGAGCGTACAAATTTTACACGCATACTACCACTCAAACAACCACACACACACTCTCATAATGGCAGAGCTTATGTTTACTGTTACTTTTTTAATTAATCTGAAAGTAATATTAAATTTAAAGATAAAAGTATACAAAAAAGGAACAAAATAAATGTAAATCAATAAAAAAAATCAAAAACAAAAAAATTTTGACTTTTAACTGCTCTAAGGGAATAACTGAATAAAGGATCAAACAAAATTGCTCAGCAGCGTTGCAAAATATGTAGGTGTATCCTGCGCTCGAATTCGAAGTTCGAAACCAACATTAAAATTGAAAGAAGAGTCAGTTTCTTAGCTACGAAAAGTTGTCCTAGGCTGGAGTGATGTTCCATCTATAATGGTCCTTCCTAATGAATGGGGCTTTGAAATTCAAGCTTACGTGAAAAATATTGTCATTCTAATTTGAAGTCACCATCTCTTGGCTCCTGGATTAAACGTTAAACCCAAGAAGACCAACATAGCAATTGGGCCTCATGCGAATACCGTGTCGAGTGGAGTCTGCATTACTTTGCGGTCGTTCATAAGTTACTTAACTTCTTCAGGTTTATGCGCAATTTCATGATGCCATATCGATTTTTACCAGAGTTTCACTCGTCACGGCAACAGACGACTTACCCAATGGAAATGGAAATGACCAAATTGCTGCAACCATTTCTTCAGTGGAAATGAATAACTTTTCTAATAAAAGTCGCAACGAGGTGAAACTTTTGAAAAGGCAATGGCCTCTATTTGAATCTGCCGGATCCCAATTGGAGAGGAACTGTACCGGAATGGGATGTATGGAACTACTTCTAAACTCATTCTATCAAACTGGTATGTATTGCGAAACGTTCTAAATATGTCAATTACACCGGCACACAAGAAAAAATGGTGTGTGCTTTTAATTAGATCCAGCTACCGACATGTATTTCAACCCGCAGAATCCGAGTCTGAGGTCCGTTTGATTCGTACACCCTCGAAATTTCGAGCAAATTGCGAATTTTTTGCATTTTTTTTTCATTATTTACGCAATTAACTCGAAATTGCCAAACGGACCTCCGATTCGGATTTAGTGAGTCGACCAATATGTTGCTAGACCAATATGGTTAAAAGCACACACCACTTTTTTTGTGTGCCGGTGTTATAACTCTTGACGATTTTGATGGTCTGTCGTCTGTACCAGAATGCTGCCGCGAATTGTTATACTCTTGCAAACGGACCTCTCTTGAGTTAGCTGATACAGTTAACCGATTAACAAAAGCGTTCAAATGCAGATGACAGATAATTGAAGAATCACAGGTAATAATTGAGAGAACGTTTTGTTTGAAATATGCTGAGAACGTCTGGTGGACGAGGACATAAGTAAAGTTCACGCAGGCCAAGTTTAGGAAACTATTATCAAACGTGCGCGTGGGCATCACTGGTTCGATGATAACCACACCGACTGCGGCTCTTGAGAGGCTTCTGGAATTGCCTTCTCTGTAATTGTCATCAAGAACGATTTTCTATTGGCAACAACCGGACTCAACTCAGGGAGCCCTGCATAAGATACGAAGCTTGTACCATTATACATTCTGAGGGTTTTATGAAATACAACAAGGTCCTTTTCCCACATAGAAGCAATTGGAACAATGAACGACCTAAGCCAAGGAAGGCTACCCACGATTCGTAAACTGATGGCTGCTAACTAGACTGGCCAATGCATCGGAGCCGTGGTCCATGATGTACAACCCAGAAGGATACGTTCTACTAGCTTACGGCAAAAAACTCTGCCTGTAAAGAGGAGGTTGCCGTCATCGTTTAACACTTATTGCATCCAGGATCCAGGAACGAACTTACAGCAGTTGGGTTTCGGGACACAGTAGGGTCACGAAATGGTATTTATTCACGCCAGAAAAAGGGCTGTTAGGCGATTTTTTATGAGGAAGCAACCACAACATTACTGCACCAGTACTGAACTGTACAAGGGGAACTGGAGTACTATTTTACTTAACAAAGCACTAACTAATGATTGCTACAGGCTTTCTTACTAACCATTGCATTGCATGCGCCACTTTTCAAACCTGAAACGTGGACCGAGGAAGACTGGCAACCAAATAGAGGTATGTTATAATGGATCGTTATTGGTCGCAGTAATTAAGTAGTAGATCCTCTCCTAAATTTATGTAATCTAGTCGTTCCATGGTGTGTGTGGCCGCCTGTGCCTTTGTTGTCGTTCCCCTGGAGCACCCTCATTCATCTTCAGCATCAGCCATCCTAGCTGAGAAGCCAGAGGAAGGACCAAGATTCGATGCCTGGTAGGGCCAATATGAAACACCTTTCTAATAGCGATCTCATTCTGGCGGGTAATGTAAATCCTCAGAGTCGTTTTGTCACATGAAAAAGGTTCGTACAAAAACTAATCTGGCGGTCGAAGACGTCATAACACCATAAATTGGAGGAAAAGCTTGGCCACACACTTAATAAAACGTGAAAATCGCCAACTGATTCGAATGCGAAAAAGTTAAGCTTTAAGTATTGGTCTATTCTACATACATACATACATACATGTATTCCAAATTGTATTTGAGATGATAACGTAGTCTGTAGCCTAAAATTATTTAAACATATCTACTGGTATTTCGTAAATGGAAATGCCATATAAAAACTTACAAAATATTTAAGAAACAATTTTAATTATCTGCTACCCAAAAAATGGTACATATTCTCAAACTGATTTAAAATTTTATATTTTTCTTAGTTATGCGAACCCGGCGGTTTTGTATTCGGTGTGGTGCGCAACAATTGCTTATGCTGACCCAACAAATGTTCCAAATGATTACATTCGCGCACTTTGCCCTTAAATTGTTCCAACGTCTCATAGAGTATTGGATAGAGTTGTGGTAGGATGCCGTGGTCCAAAGTCGGGAACAAATGATGCAAAATATGATCATCGAAGTGAGTCAACACTAAGAACTGTGAACCCTTCAAGTCACCACGATCGATAATGGTATCCACCTGGAAGAGCCCCCAGTCGCGATCTTCACGATTAGCATCGCCTTCGTGATAGATCTCCGGATCATGATGAGCCGCATTCAGGCCAATAACACTGAAAGCGAAGCTGGCAATCATTGTGATGAACAGCCACTGGCGCAGTGACAACAGCAACGTAAGATCGGAGAAGAGGAACATGGCGAGTGGTATGCTGAGCGGCAGAATATCGTGCCAGTACAGGATGTTCTCGTGGCGAAGCGAGTAAAAGATTCTGAAGTGGGAAGGAGACTCATTAATCTTAAGTAAATGAAATAAAAAAAAAGAAACCTTCGAAATTACCTAGTCGCCATCTGTAATGGAAAAACTATCGCATAAGTGATTGGCTCTGTGACTATTGACAGATAACGCATAAGTTTGCTCTTTATATATGGATTGGGCACCCAGCAAAGTAGCGGCTCAACCATGGACAATTCCAGGTCGAAGTACGAATTCGGATAGATATGATGGGAGAGCGCATGCGAAATTCGCCACGAGCAGAAGTTCATCAGGCACAAATTGAAGGTGTACATACGCCAATTATCGCGCCTGTGGAAGTAGTTATGCGCCACAATGACGGTCCAGCAAAGCGCAGTGCCAGCGAGCGCTAGGAAGAGCAGACTATGTAGGCGTGCGCTGAGAACGGCGAAAATGAAGATAGACACCAACAAGAATAGGTGAATTGCCTGCAAGTAAAACACTAAATTAACATAAATCCATGTACATACATACACAACTAAAAATACGCTTTTATTACAATTTGAACAGAAAAGTAATAACTAATTTAGAGCTATACAGATTCCGTTTGAGTTCCGAACTTGGTACAATTTTATACCAACTTGTAATGGGATTAAAGAAAATGACAATAGAATTTGCTTTAATGAAAAACAAAAAGTTTCGGGCTTATTAATTTTGAATATTGCCTATTGCTACGGTGACCATATTAACCAACATAAAATAAAGGATATTTTTTTCAAAATGATTTGGGAATATGTACATACAACTTGTATGCTACAAGTACCTTACCCATACCGTAATTTAAATCAAATATTTACCAGTTAATACTACACGACGAAGCCAGCACACAGTGGTTCAAAATTGGAATTCAATGTTCATAAATCACTGGAGCCTTAATTTTTCAACCAACTAGATTAATTTTTTTCAATGAAAGCTTATACAACTAGCAAGAGACCAGTTGAGCCCGATTTTTGAAAGCGCAAAAAAGTAGCAATTTTGAAGAATATCGTTTCTCCTGTTCCAGTTAATAAATGTTACAAAATAAGGTCTAATTGAAAGCGATTGTAAACGAAAAATAATTCCACCATACAATTTTTGCAACGAGTTTTATTATGTAAAAGTTTTACCTGGAACAGGAGAATACATTTTATTCAACATTGCTACTTTTTCAGCACTTTGTACTAAAAAATTTTAATTTATTGCTGTCTTTCAGTGCAACTGGTAACTCCCTGTGCTTTTGAGAACAATGAATTTTACTGAAAGTTAAAAGTTAAGTTAATTTTTCTATCAGTATTAGCAATGATTCGTGATTTATAGATTGTGCAAAGATTACCGTTAAGTGGGGTGCGAAACAAACTGGCGAAGGTTCTCTTACGCTTTTTATTTGTTCATATTCTCTGTTTAAAAATTTACCTCTGAAAAATCCAGGGGTGATTTACAGGACAGTTTAAGAAATAAAGGACAAAAGGCAGTTTTATTTTGAAAAAAAAAAATAAGGACAGGGGGTTAAAATAAAGTACGGATGGTCACCGTACTTATAGCGCGACTATAGAATCTAAAAAACACCTGCGATTTGTATTCCAATAATATTCATTTTGTTGTCAATCACTTTTTAACCGACTTCACAAAAAGGAAAAGGTTATCAATTCGCCGGAATAATTTTTTTTTATATGTACATATGTTACCGCATAACTTTAGACCACGATAACCGATTTCTATGCTTATTTCTTTAAAGGAAAGGTGTTACCTCCGATCATTGCATCATGAGTAAGTTAACGGTAGTCTTAAATTTTTATATGAGAATTGAAGTCGCTTTTGTTTTTTGCTTAAGAATAATTTGTATAATATTTTATGCTAATTTAAAAAGTTAAATTAGATGAAGTTAAGGAAATTCCTATTCCTCTCAAACGAAATCTGTATGCCTATAACGTATTTTTCACTTTTTAGCTCACATTGTAATAAGAGCTGTTTTTAGCTTTTTAAATCATCTTTTACTTTTTTAACCGACTTTAAAAAGAGCAAAAGGTTATCAATTCGTCGCAATATTTATTTTTTTTTTCAATGTATGTTACCGCATAATTTTGGACCACATTAACAAATTTGTATAATTCTTTTTTTAAATGAAACATTGTACCTCCGAGGTGGTCCCATACTAATTTGGTTTAGATCCGAACATTGGATCATGAAAAAATTAACGATACTCTTAAATTTTCATATGAGAATTTAAGTCGGTTGTGTTTTTAGTTTGAAAATTACTTGTTAGTCTTAAAATTCAATGAATCTTAAATCATGCCGCCAATTGTGTAGTCGACATTATGTTGGCTAAGCGACATATGAAGTAGTTGTTGCTGTCCCTAAAAATATTCTAGATTCTAGAAATCGCCGCGTTAAATTTCTATTGCTAAAAATGTCTAAATGAATAAGGCTTATGCCTAAAAATATACAACGCTTCCATTCAAACATAACGTAACCATAATGCTAACGATTTTATATTGAACACATTCCGCTTACGCGTTGCATATTTGTAGGTCCATATGTTATTAATTTAGAGACTTTTAACATAAGAAATTTAGCGTAGCGATTTCTCGAACGCTGGAGCTAACTTTACGAATAGAAATTGCTGACAATTGATTGACAATTATGCAACAAAATGTCTAAGTTACAAAATGTTCGGTAACAAGCAGAATTGGCCTGTATGTGGCAATTTTGAATATTTTACACAAATATTTTAATCGGGATATTTTGGCTGCATTTCTTTATACATTCTGAACGTTTGGAATAAACTATTTTGTTTATTTATTCTTTAGAACGTTCCTGATGATATGTTGACGTATATTTCAAACGCATTCTGTTTATTCCGGCTGTGAAATGGGATTATCCGGAATGTATAAAGAAACGCAGCCTTTGTAATGACAACAGCGTAATGCCATATTTTACTTTCCACCCACTTGCTACTCACATCACTCTTCGTCTTCGGTGTGTTATCGATGGTTTTCAGCTTCTCGCGGACACGTTCGCGCAGCGTTTTGTAGAAGCCATCTTCGTGCATGGTGAGCGTGTAGATACGTGGATTTTTGGCATCGCGCACTTTGTATTTTTCGATCATCTTATGTGGCAATTTGGCGATGTGATGCGCCTCGAATGCTTCAGTTATATCGGTACCCTGTGCGAAGGTGTTTAAGAAGTTTTGAAAAGAAAATATTTATTTTACAACTGCTGCACTCTGTATTCACGCTTACCTTCGATTCTATTAACCAAAATTCACCACCTGGATGTTTGCTAATGAAATCCGTAAAGTCATAGATGCCATCGTAAATTCGCCAAAGACCCTCAGCTTCATCATCATTCTGTTTGTCCAAGAGCCAGCTGTGGAAGAAAAAACGTTTTATATTTATATTTAATGCAGGAATTTCTAAGGGTCAAATTTACAGTTGCTTATTTAACGACTGACAATTTAACTATCGATTAAAATATTCGTAATGCTCAGTTAACGAAAGTTTAAACCAGCAGCTCCCATAGTTAAACTCGTGAAATAAATTTTTTTTACATTTTCACCAACAGGTCACGTTCATGATTTTCAGTACCGCATTTGGTGGTAGTCAGAAGGCATATTTCCCTTGCCGTCTTAAATGACCTAGCAAAAGTGTATGTGCATACAAAGATACGTAATAGTTTCAGTGCGTTGGAAAGGCGCCACGCCCCCTTTTAAAAAAGCCCCAATTTTCACTAAGAGTATAGGATTGATTTCATATATATCCATACCATGTTCGAGTACTCTACCATGAACACTTCCAGAGATATGCAGTGTGAAAAATCCGGGTTGTATGAGATGTGCCACGCCCCGTTTTCTAATAGCCCCATTTTTTTTTAATGACTATGCGATTGATTTTATATGTGACCTGGTCTACGGAAAGGGGGCTTAGGTGTCAAAAAATCAATTTTCACTTTTTGGTTGATTCGGATGGAAGATGAGATGCCTTTTCACGTGGTGAAAAGTAGAAAATCCTAACTTGCTTAGAAGTGTACTAAAAATGTAGAGAAATAAGAGTAAAAATACGACAAAATATAATTTATTGGTAATGAACAAAATGCATTGAATTATAAGCTACTAGCAACCCGCCCCGGCTTCGCACGGAAATAAAATATAAGGCCTATGTCACTCACTGAAAAAATGATTAAAATCGATCCCGTAGTTTTGATTTATTCATTACTGCCCGTGGCCCGCACGCGTTACATTTGGAGTAAAACAATTTCCCTTTCTTTATACCATGAAGATTTCCTGCTATCTTTGGAATATCTAAATTCATACCCTACATTTTAACATATTTACTTTTTGCATTTTTACATATTTATTTTATTTTTACAACAACAATTAATATATTACAGAATGTCTTTATATACAACGTTCACAGCTTTCTTGTCATTAGACAATACAAACATGTTTTCTCTTGAGGTGTGAAAAACAGTCAACGCTCAAATCTAAGCCTGCAACGTTGAAGGTTTGACCCTGCGATTTATTAATGGTCATTACAAAAGATGTCTTTACCGGAAATTGTAAACGTTTAAATTGGAATGGTAAATCCGATGGTATCATAGGGATTCGGGGAATCAATACATCTTCTCCGGTACCACATCCTGTGAGTATTGTGTACTCTATTATGAAAGTTTTCAGTGATTTTACCAGCAAACGCGTGCCATTGCAAAGTTTAGGTGGATTCAGGTTTCTTAATAAAATAACAGGACAACCTACTTTCAACACCATTTTGTGAGGAGGGAGTCCAGACGGGTTCAAAGAGTTTAGAAATTCCATTACCATTTAGAAACAAAAGATAATTACTGATGTAATATCTTCAAAAATTAATTAATTGGATAAGGATAAATGCTGTATTGATTAAAATCGCTTCGAAAATAAGCTATTAGTTGTCGTAAAAAGTAAATGACAAAAAAATGTTATTGTGGGTGTAGTCGTTGGAATCGATAGCAAATTTAACGCGCTCCGAATCAATAAAAACTATTCAAAAACTGTATTTTAATTATGTGCGATTTATTAATATAGAACGTGAACAGAGTGGTTTATTTCGCTGAAAAACACTCACAACTAAAAATTTTTCAAATTTGGGTTTTCTGTATAAAAACCCTCAATGCAATGGAATTCAGTACGGCAATAAAGACATGAATTGAAAATACATACATACATACATACATACGTCCGAAATTTAATTATGCGAGAGATTCGTACATATGTACTTACATACATACGTACCGAGTTCTTTCACCATACGATCTAATTCAACATGAATGAGGTGGGGCGAGATTCCCGCATAACTTCTAATGTTTCATTCGGTTGACAGCGAACAAACACACAAACAGCTTTTTTTGGAAAAAGTGCTGCTTTTGTTTAAACAATTTTGGTTAAATAAGATATGAATCAACTTTTTTTTTGATGCAGAACGAAAGTAAATATTTCAAAGTTTAACTTCAAGTAAGTTTCATTTTAATCGGTGGATTCTTTTATGATTTATGGCTGTGTAAACAAAAAATGTATGGGTTTTTACCACATTTTGTCCGATTGCCACGCCCCCTTTATATATTTCTTCACATTATAATGACATAAACCTTCCTCTTCAACCAATCTATCTATTAAAATCCGTTGCTTAGTTTTCAAGATTTAAGCATTTAAGGGGACATAGGGACAGAAAAAGTGACTTTGTTTTATAATATGTAGTGATAAAGACATGATTATACACTAGAAAAACGTATTATGGGCCAAAAATAATAATGCTGAGTAGTTTATGTATTTTTCTTTGTTGTCGTTTTCCTTGAGATCTTTTTACGTGTTGATCCTGAGGAAGATGGACCTGGTTCCTCGTCTGGTCGTACAGGCATGTACAAAAAGGAAAAACAAACGACAAACAGGTACTCTGTAGAAGGTAAATTGAATTCTATGCCTCATAACTTCTGTATCCTGTCTCTGTCCATATTTCTTCCGCCCAGCAAGCTTTGCGTATACACTTTCTAGCTTTTCGTTATTCATAATTCCAGCTTCGATGTGACTTAGTATCACTAAATCAAGTTCATTTTTCGACATCTCTAAACAATTGTTCCGCGTACTCTCGATCATTTCCCGTGGTATCAGTGTATGGCATTCATTATTACAACAATCTTTTGACAGAAATTTTGTTACCAGCTCCTCCTCCTTTACATCAACAACATACAGGTCCATCTTCACAAAAGTTTGTTCGGTATCATCTTCTGCCTGAGATACACATACTTCGTCTTCATCATCATCGCTCTCTTCATAGTTTTCATCATCGTTTTCATCATCCTTTTCATGGAAATATTGTCCGTATACGGCACTGAACTCCTCATCAACACTCATGTTTCATTTCATGCGAAATGCGAAGACGATAATCAACAGAAACAGTAAACGTCACTTCTTCAGTGTTACTTTTTTAAATGTTCCACACTAGCAACTTACACGATGAACTATAATAATATTCCGACCAACAACAACACTTACTGGACCAACAACAACACTTACTGGACCAACAACAACACTTACTGGACGTCCGGCGCGGAGAACAATTAACGAGATAATGAGAAACTGACGAAACGAGTTGCTTACTTTTAACAGCTTTTTCACAGAAAACTAGTTTTCGCACGTAAGCTCCCTTTTCGTAGACGAGGTCACATATATCTCCATACCATGATCGAGTACTCTACCATAAACACTTGCAAAGATGTAAGGTGTGAAAAATTTGGTTTGTATGGGAGGTGCCACGTTACCTTCACTTAGCGGTATGAAACATACTTTACAACCTATTATCATACCTACCGAATATACACACAAAATTTCATTTAAATCGGTCAAGCCGATTTGGAAGAGTTCGACCACAAAAACCGTGACACGATATTTTTATGTATTAGATTTTCATACAAAAATACTAAAAATTCTAAATAAAAAAGAGAGGAATTTTTTTTCAATAGGCACACCATAATCGCCAAATTCTAGTATTCTATCGTGAACACGGACGGAGGTATGCAGTATGAAACATTCGGTTTGTATGGGATGTGCCACGCCCCGTTTTCTAATAGCCCCAATTTTTTTTAATGACTATGCGATTGATTTCATATATCTCCATACCAAGTTTTAGTACTCTACCACGAATACCTTCCAGAGATATGCAGTATGCAGTTTTACGACAACCACAATTTTTCTCCATGAGTATACGATTGCTCTCACATATCTCCATACCGTGTTCCAGTCCTCTTCCATGAACATTTTCCGGGAAATGCAGTATGAAAAATTCGGTTTGTATGAGATGTGCCACGCCCCTTTTTTCAATAGCCCCTTTCTAACTTTTTTCTAAAAAGTGTATGTAAGAAGAGAAATATAGTCAGCGAAAATAAAAAAAATAAAAAATATAAAAACAAAAAGCCGGTACCGTGGGTCCCGCGGGTCCCGATATCCCGGGGTCATCTCTAGTCAGAGCGCTGTGCTGTTTTGTTTTTTTTATAAAAATTAAGTAATAGACGTTATATGACAAAATATATGTACATATGAATCGGTCTTGGGAGATCGATTTATTTTTTGACGATTCCTTTCTGCATCGGTTATTTTTATTTGGATGCGAATCGATTCAAAAACCGGTTTCGTTTATTTCAATCTGGCATCTCTAATATACACACTTGCCTAAATGCATGCATATATATTGCATTTACATTAATTTGCAAGCAAAATTTTACGATTGAGGGTAAATATATAAACATACAGTCATGTGAAAAATAATAGGGGCACGACATTTGTTTGTTTAGCTAACAAAAGCATATATAAGTCCAAATTTCAAACTTTGTAGAAAGATCCCAAACCAATTTGCAACAAAAAAAAAACGTTCTAAAGTGTAAGTATGCTGTTTTATGGCCCATTAAATTCTAACTTAAGAAAGTGTAAATTTTTGTTTCGGAGACAAATATATGTACATATGTAGTAGATGTCGGATCAATAAAATGAAAAAAAAATTTGCACATTCAACGGCGTTGATCCAATTTACTTTGCCTGTTTTCTTAAGACACTCTTTAATTGCTCCTTTTTTAACGGACTTCCAAAAAAGGAGGAGGTTATCAGTTCGTCGGAATATTTTTTTTTTTTTTTTTTTTTTTTATGTATGTTACCGCATAACTTTGCACCACGTCAACCGATTTCGATAATGGTTTAGATCCGATCATTGGATCATGAATATATATAGAGATATATATATTTTTTTTAAGTCGGTTTTTTTTTTGCTAAAAATTACTTGTTTATTTAGTCTGTTTTCACTGCACTCACCTCTTGGTTGTGATCAACTTGGAATTCCTGAAAGTCGGGAATTTCGTTGCAATGCCTGACTGCTTCCAATTTTCTATAACCATTTTGTTTCGTTCTTTAAATTTTCTCACTTCAAATTACCACAAGTATACAAGGATTTTTTACAGCAGGATTTGCACTTTCTAATTTACACTCGCTAGCTAGCTGTGTGTGATCGTACCGAAAGATCATCGAAACCTCGCCGATTTGAACTGAATGCACAGTGATCTTATGTACATCATTTTAAATGGTTTGCTTCCACAATTGCTGGAACAAAATGACAAGCGATTTCTTATCAACATTGCAGAAACA